GTGAGGTAGTTTGTCATGAAGTGACAACGCCTCAGCGGGGTGAGGAATGGAACGAGGATGCTGGCCCATAACTCCAAATATTGATGTAGACTTTTCATATCGCTAAGCCTCAGTCGAAAGCTTCTCTATGGGCACAGCTTATCATAATATCGTTCATCAGTCGTTGGATGAATTGTATCCAGACGATGACTGACATCAGCCGTTATAACGTTTGAATTGTCTCATTTCGAATCCATTTTTCTGTTTGTTCGCACGGTGAATTTCGTTGCCTGCTGTCATCTTTCACCGTTTGCTAAGCATCGTATGCCGTTGCTATTTCATAATTTCCGTTTTCAACTTTGGAACGATTTTGCCATAAGTTATGAAAATAAAAACTCCCCTCCAAACGCAGATTTGTCTCTTCCTTATTTTGTTCATACATTTTGCCAACTGACCTTCTGCTTGACAACATAAGTAGCCCATAGACTGAAGTGAATGCTATATGCTAAGCTAATTTGCCTATAAAAGAAGGCCAACATCATGTTTTAATCTCTACATGCTCTGAGAACACATGTGTCTCAAAAATAGAGCCATTCTTTGCATGTCTCTTAGATTTATAGTTTACAACCATCACAACACAAAGACGAATCGAAATGATTAACTTTATTTCAAGGAAGTATTGTCATATTTTCTCGTTTGCAACTAAAGCAGAGCTGAGTCTGAAGACCAAGCTCTCGGTGTTCAAGTCCATTTTCATTTCCACGCTCACCTACCGTAATAACTAAAATCTTCCATCCCAGGTACAAGCGGCTAAAATGGGCCTTCTGAGATGAATCAGTGGTCTAACTTGTCTCCATATGGGATGCAGTACAGATATTCTAGAATGCCTTGGTGTACAGCCTCTGCTGCAGAAAGGAAGGCAGTCCAGCTACTACTTGTCAAGCTGACCATCAGAGGGTTCAGAGGACGGCCAAGATTAACCCGGTGCAAATATATGGAAGGAGTCTGTTCCAGACTCCAGCTGTCGTCTGCCGAAGCTCAGACTCTGGCACAGGATCTGGAACGTTGGAAGCTCTGTCTGACGTGTCTGTCTCCACGATCAAAAAGCGGTCAAGGAAGATGAAGATGAAAATATTTCAGGGGACACCTCCCGTTGCAAGCAATGCAACCTTAAAGTAGTCATCCGCTATGTGCGAATAAAGTAGAAGCTCAATCTTCTTTTTTTAGCTGAATGCATTGAATCCTGAATCTATATAACATATAAAACATGGAGGAATATAGGCAGAAAGTACATTATCATTAGCAAAAGAGCTGCTTCATGAATTCAAGCGACTGCCATTTCTGGAACGTGTTCCGATGAAGGTGCATCTGCTGAAAACAGAAACTGAAGGTAGCATATCCTTGCATAGCATTATTAGACACTGAACGTTTTGCCCATGTTATTCCAAAGCATATGTTAAAGGTAGCATATAACCATTCAGTTGGATTTCTTCTTCTTTCGAAATGTTTCCCGAAATCTAACATCAGCTACTACTAAAGTCAGTCATCTAACGAAGCAGGGGTGGCCAAGGGCTACAATGGTGTTTTGCTTATTGTGTCCGTTTAACTAAGAAAATGAATTCGTTCAAGTCAGGTGTTTTATCTTATTCAACGATTGTTGCCATCGGCAAAAGTGTACCCTTTACTGTATGACACACTATTTCGTTTGACGAGAATGCAGGCACTCTATGATAAGCCTCAGTTGATGATCAGATCATACAAACCTTTGCAAATACTGAGATCACGTGGTCAAACAAGTCTAGTCTGCTGCTTAGCATGGTTCCAAGGAAAAGTTTGGTGTCGCAAGCAGGGATTGACTCACCTTATAAGTTTATACGATGTTCGATAGGGAGAGCAGATTAGAAGATCTGATGTTCTCCATACAGCAGGTTAATATGGCTCTTTTCTGACGGTTATATCTTAACCCATTATTCCTGATCCATAGCTCTGTGTCGTTCACAGAGTGTTCATAGTGCAAGAGACAGGACCGACGGTGCATAAGGAATTTATAAATTTAAAGGAAAAGGTCGATAGCACTGAATCTTATAGAATACCCGAGTAGCTCTGTTTCGCCGATAAGCAGCTCCTTCCAACAGCAACGAGCTGTTGCTGGTTGGAGGAATAATCTGTTCACCAGCGGAGCAGGTAGTTCTCTAAGCCTGCCTTCTGCAGATAGGAGAAAAGGCCATCTCTCAGCACTTGGCTGAAAGACACTAAATGATCCAAGACGGTCTTCACAACGGAGTTGCCAGAGTCTAGTGCAGAGGGTAGCAAGTCCGCAGAGCAGGCTAGAACATCTAGGGTGCGACGACCCCGCGTAAAAGCGAATAGCAAGAGATATTTCGTTCCATAAAGTTGGCTGATGAGCACCGATCGAACGGAGGTCTCCAGTGCTTCATACAACACAGAGATCCAAGAGACTGAACTGGAAGAAAGTCGCCTTTTTTGGCGCAGCAGCCGTCTTTGGAACAGGAGTAATTTTGGATTTTCACCAGCCATTGGGAATGACTTCGGAATTGAGGCAATTATTAAACAAATTGTACAGCACACTACATATTTCTGTCTTAAATATGCGGAATTCATGAATATAACCGTAGATGCAAAGACTCACCACCATTCGTCTTAATCATTGAATAAAGCTCGGAAAAATGTGTCTGTCTCCGTAAAGTCTACCATTGTAGGAGATGATCCGGACTTTAGAGAAAACTCTTGGAAGAACTGGACGATAGCTTGATTTTTTCTGCCATTTCAACGATCAACACCTGAATACTAAATATTGAATACTAAACAGGAGTATTATAGTTGCGCAAATTTGTAGATTTATCTCGTTATCACTCCAAATAGAAAATGATATTGTTCGTTGTCACCCTTTCAAAATTAAACTTCGTTCATTTGCCAATGAGCCATAAACAGAAAAAGTAGCAAGGCAAAAAAAAATAGAGTCCTAAAAATGTGTGTATAGTTTGCCCCACAAGTGCAAGGCTACCACATCATGTTGGATGCAATATTAGTTTGCTCACTTGATTTCTGGAGTGATTCAGATAATGCCTTGATGGCCTAGAGGTGATACCTAGATTTTTAAGATATCGTCAAAATCTCTGTATTACTGATACCATCACAGCTTCTAAAACTTACCACACCAATAGGGTTTTTTTCAATATTCAGGCAACATCACGAATACACCAGCCATCAAGCCCTGACAACATAGAAAAAAGCAAAAAAAAGCTTTGAAATAAAAACTACTGCACCAATACCTTGGCCCTTGTTTTGTATGTCTGTAAGATAGTGCTCGTTGAAACTGTTAATCTTTGTATAGAACATTTGACCGAAAGGGACTTCACTTCAAACAAGCTGGAAAACCGAAAAGCGTAGAACCTAGAACTGAGCGATGCAACCAGTATCCTGAGGAACCTCTTCACAAATACACCACAGCGTTCATGTGCTAGAGTGCAGTCAACGATCGAA